CCTGTGGTTGTCCCCCCTAGTGATAGCCTTTTGACCATCAGAATTGCTTTTCCCTTAAGTAAAAGCAATTCACCCTACTTTATCACCGAAAGCAGAGGCTTTTGTCCTTGCCCCTTTCCTTTGTCTGCTTACTTTGCAAAAGCCTTGATCATTGCAAATGAGACCACACTCCTCCAACTCTCTATATAAGGAGTTCAGACAGAAGAAGAGGGACAGAATTCTCCTCTCCAGAATTCACTCATTTTATTTTTCCCGTTTACAAACACATTGCAGATTGTAAGCTCCAAGTTTAAGATGCTCCTATTCCCCACACCTGTATCAATCTTAGTTGGCTAGCCCACTTAGTGCTAGTCCAGTAAGTATTGCTAGTATACTTGTGTGTAATCTTGAATATTGATATTTTAATCCTAGTTTTACATTTCAATTCACATTACTTGCTGCTCTCTGCTTCCGCTCTATTTTGGTATATATATTTGTAACTATTTCAGGTTTTATCCTAACTGTGTTTGGTATCTGTTTGGCAATTCAATCCCAAATGACAATTCAATAATCCCAAATGACAATTTAGTCAATTTCAAATGACAATTTAATCCCAAATGATAATTCAATCAATCATAAATGACAATTCAATAATTCCAAATAAAAATTCAATTAATATCAAATTCAATTAATCTCAAATACAACACACACAGAACATAATACACACACACATACACAGAATGAACACAACAAACACACATAGACTCAACACAACACACACACACACACGCACAGATCTGTGTACATATGCACACATCTTCTAGGTTGCACCAAAAACGAGAGCGAAACAGAGAGAGAGCATCGTCTTGTTTTTGTTTGTCTGAGGGATCGATCTTCGTCTAAGTTCTTCGTCGTCTAAGAGAGAGAGGAGATCAGAGAGTGAAGAAAAAAAAAGAAAAAAGAAAAAAGAAACCCTTCAAAGGATTTTTATAGTAAACACAAAAAAATCTTCTTTTTGTTGCTAATGGGATTTGCGTAGGGGATTTCATTAAATAAGGCTGTGAAGCCTGCGTGTTTCTAGAAAACAAGGGTGTGTTAGGTTTGTATTTTGAAAATAGTTTTTTGTTCTCAAAACACAAAATTTTTTGAGATACTATTTGGACAATAATTTTTTTAAAAAAAGTGAAAATTAAGAACAAAAAATAGAAAACATTATTTAGATATTTTTTGAGTTTTTAAGCCAAAAATAAAAAACAAGGAACCAATCTTATTCTTTGTTAAGATCTCTCCATCAAATCCCTTTAGCAGTAAAATTGGCCATTTTGTTTTGTTGCCTTCCTCTCTCCTTGACTCTCTCTCTCTCTCCACTAGGCGAAATCAATGTCTTCTACTTCACTCCAGCGACCGGAGAGCTTCGACGACTAAAAGACTAAGCGTCTTCTACATCACCGGCGTAGCTCTGGCAAATTCCCAGGCATCTTCTATCTCTCTCACACAACCCACAGGTGTCTTCTATCTTTCTCACGCAACCCATCTCCTCTCTCTCTTTGCAACAGATCTGTATAGATCTGCGATGGTTAAATGTGTGTGTGTGTGTGTGATTGTTGTACGTGTGGGTGTGTGTGTATGTTTGTGCTGTGTGAGAAGACAACGGAGAGGAGAGAGATGGTGTGAGAAGATAATGGAGAGATAGAGCTGCTGTGTGAAGATAATGGAGAGAAGAGAGAAAAAGAGTTATTGCGTTCTGGGCACGACTCCTCTGCTGCTAGGCTTCTGTTCAATTAAAAACGGTGTCGTTTCATTGCATGGACCCACAAAATTGGCGTACCAGCATCGAAACAACACCGCTCCATGATAAACTCTTCCAACGACGCCGTTAGCAATCCTTCACAGCAATAAACTATTCGAAAGCCTCTCGGCCTGTTTCCCACCATAAACAAATGTTTTAGTTTTACCTAACCCTCCAATGTATTCTCTCGCCCCTCAAATCTGTACAACTTGGAGTCAATAATCCATAAACTCAAACACCGGGAATCAAAATCTATTTCCATCATCCAAATCTGGGACAAAAAGGAATGGATGGAGAATGTGACTTACTGTAATAAAAAATTATTGCCCTAAACTTTTAAAAATTTTAGAGTTTTGAGTTTGAAATTGAACAATCAAACCTAGGTATTCATATTTAAAAAAAAATAAAAATGAACAGAAGTTGACCACTGCCGGCATTGGAATGTGAGCAGCGAGCTATCGAAGTTTCAATAGCATGGGTGGAAGGCGAAGTTTTGGATCAGAATTTTTGTGGGAAGACGAAGATAGCATATGGAGCGATTTGTTAATTAAAGGCAAATTTTAGCTTCATCCCTTCTAATTTATCATATTTTTAACCCTTCTAGTTTATCATATATTTTTAAGAACATGTCATATATTATTCAAACGCCACTGGCATCCATTCTAATTTATATTTAAACATCATTAACACCCCCTGCTGTTAAATCACTATTTTTAACAAAAAAAAATTCATCTAAAATATCAAAATTTCCCCTACATAAATCCAAAAATATTTCTATATAAAATTCGAGTCTATTAAAATTTATTTTTCTACATATTAAAATTCTTCCAGATTAAAATTTATTTTTCTTCATATTAAAATTTAAGTCGGTTAAAATTTAATTCGAGCTGATTAAATATTATTTTTTTTACATATTAAAATTTGATACTATTAAAAATATTTTTAACGTATTAAAATTTGAACCGATTTGAGCTCCAGTTGAAAAAAAAATAATATTAAAAGAACTGATAGCTTCAATTAAAATTTATTTTGAATTGATTAAATTTATATTTTTTTACTTATTAAAATTCGTGTCAATTAAAATTCAAATCAAGTTGATTAAATTTTTTTATGTATTAAAATTTGAGTCAATTAAAATTTTTATTTTTTTATGTATCAAAATTTTGACCAATTAAAATTAAGTGCAAGTTGATTAAAATTTGATTCAAATCAATTAAAAATCATTTTTAATCGGCTCAAATAGAATTTTAATCAACTTAAATTTTAATACATAAAAAAATATAATTTTTAGTCGACTTAAATTTTAATTAATTTAAATCAAATTTTAATTAACCCAAATTTTAATATATATAAAAATTTAGAAAATAGAGGAGTCTCATTGAAATATGCCTATCTAGAGGGACGTAGATGAATTTTTTGCTAAAATATATTATAGGCAATTTAGTAAAACCATATTATAGTTAACACCTCTAATACAATTAGAGGTGTCAGTAAAATTTTTAAAAATAAAGAATGTGTCCTTAAATATATGATAAATTAGAATGGATGTGACTGAAATTTTTTCATATAATTTAATAGACTAAGTGGTTTTCAAATAGTTCATTGCTGTGAAGGGTTGCAAACGACGTCGTTGGAAGAGTTTAGCAAGGAGCGTTGTCGTTTGGATGCTGGCAAGCCAATTTTATGGGTCCATGCTGTGGAACGGTACCCTTTTTTTATTAACAGCACACAATGCTGTTAGAAGCCTAACCGCAAAGTAGCCTCGTGTGAATCCAGAAGACTTTACTGCCTGGTTGGAGAGGGAAAAGATTTTATGGTGAAATTTTTTTTTTTTTGGGGTACGAAGTAATAAGTTAAAAATTAGTTTTATGGATCATTGTTCAAACATATTTTACTATTTTTTGTACTTTAAAACTATTTTTAAAATCATGTAACCAAACAAGTTTTGTAGTACAAAAATATCAAAAAAATATATTTAAAACTCTTTTCTAAAATTATTTTCGAATACTATTTAGAAATGTAAACCAAACTGACCCCATGTTTCCTAGTGCATCTTTTTTTTTTGTCCCTTGTTTTTGGGCTGTGTTTCAGAAACAACTTTTTTTTTTATGTAAAATAGAAACACAAATTGAAACATATTTTTGCTTTTGTTTTTCTTAAAAAATGAAAACAAAAACACAAAATACGAAACAAAACAGTCAATCAAACAACCTGGTATTGTATAATGCTTTTACACAATAATTGGTATAATTCATGGTATGGCATTCCATATCCTAAAAATTCCAAATAATGTAAAAAATTTACATAAAGAATCTAATGTTGTGAATTGGTGACACTATAAAAAAAATTAAAAAAAAACAATGATACCGTATGTTTAAACATAATAGAAGGAAAAAATTCAAAATATTTAAAAAAAAAAAAATTGGTGACACCGTATGCTTAAACATAATATAAGAAAAAAAATTTAAAATAAATTTAAAAAAATTATAAAAAAAAATCGGTGACACCGTACGTTTAAACATAATACAAAGAAAAAATTCAAAATAATTTTTTTGTTAAATTAAAAAAAAAAAAAACTATGAGATCACACACTTAAACTTAATATAAGAATGTAAGCTTTACACATGAGAGTATTTGTGTCATTTTTTATGCTTGTATCGTCGGTGGATTTATACGAGCAAATAATACCACTTGGTAGGCGATATTCATTAAAGCCAAACAAGGGTTAAAGGCTGCTGACGTCGGTGTTGCAATCCGAAAAATAGTATTGCAAATAAAATGTCAACCAAGCAAGGTAATAAGCGAGACCCAGATATTATTTCTTGCTATTACAAACTTAAACACATTCACCATCTCTCTCTCTCTCTCTCTCATATTTATTCAGTTTTGTTCGATAAAGATGAAATCATCTGGGATCTGGTGTATGCCCCACCTGAATATATCAAGTTTTTGATTGTCCTGAGCTGGCTATCATTGACTTTATCCACCTTACAAACAACTGCGACATTTTAATAAACAGTTGGTAGGCATTGCGTCCTTATATTTTCATCTTCTCTCCCATTTTCACATTCTGGTTCCGTGTCAGTTATTTCTTTGAGACCCATTATAGACGATAACTTTATACATTGAGTACGATCATTAGATCAATAAATTTGTCAATCTGTCTTACATTTTGAGTTCCGACCAAGAACTGGTTGAACTTTGCATTACAAAAGAATGAACATGCAAGAAGTCAGTTCATTTTCTGGAGCCTTTCTCCATCTAAGGATGCAAGAATTCTCTTGAGGTGGCGAGTGTACATGAAAGGCCGCTCCAGCCCAACAAGATGCCCTGCCTTTTCAATATAGTGCAAGGTGGATTTGCCTCCCAATTGCCTGTGATCATGTTTGAAAACGTCTAATTAGCGTAAGTTATATTTTAGTGCTGATAGTCTATTTGGTCCTTCAGGTAAGTTCCTTTTGTCAGTTCAATTTCAACGTGTCAATTTTATCAACTTAATCTCGAAATTTTTTAATTCACGTTTAAATTGTCCCTACACAGGCGAATCGCTAATTTTTTTAACAGAAATGATAAAATATCATTCTTTCAGATGATATTACATGATTATTTTCGTCAAAAATTTAACAATTCGTCTGTTTATGAACTATTTGAACACGAATTGAATATTATAACAATTAAATTGAAAAAAAATAAAAAAATTAGGATTAAATTAACAAAACGAGCATACTTTAGGAATCAAATTATTACCATGTGATTTTGATGAGAAATAAATTAGCTTTTGATCAGCCTGTCATCGTATTGAATGATTAAAGAGGGTGAAAAATTGATCTAATAATGGTGAGGTAGGATAATATATTATATAGCATAAATTATATTTTATTTTAATGTGAATTAACCAAGTTGCTTATCACTTTTTTATTTGAAAATAAGAATATAACCCACGTTAATTTATGAAACAAATATAAAATCATATGGTTGATGGGGCCTATATTAGAAGAGATTCAAATCCGGTTCAATCCCAATTTTTTCCCATTATCTTTTCTTTTGATACTTGAACCGTATATTTTCAAAGCGTATAATTTCAGTGCATAACCACGAAAACACTATATGCATATTTTTCAGATATTGAAAATGATAGGCAACTTGAACAAACGATAATGAAATAAAACACATTTGAAGTAATCATATATCTAATATGAAAATTGACTTACTCTTTTATGTTATGGGCTACTTCCAAGTCGAAAAGCTTGTCATTGTCTCCCCACAGTAGATGAATCCTCTGCAAAAACAAAATGCAAATAAGAAAGTAACCAACGAGATGACACTAAATTATAACCTTTGAATATAAGTAGACAATTGAATCTATAAAGGGGAGATGGATATACATCTATAATGATTCTCACACGAACGTGTTATACTTGGAATAGGTTATGATCGAACCTATATTAGAAGGGATTTAAATTCGATTCAATCCCACTTCAAAAAAACCTTTACCAACACAATTTGACAATGGCGTATATCATTTCAATCAACCAAAATGTCTAGGGTTAGAAGTGTGGTCCAAAATTTCAGCTAGATATTGACATATACACCAAATTTAGGTGACAATTTTTTAGGTGCAGCGAATCTGGGTAAGGCTATGGTGCAAAACCTCCGTCAACTTCAATAATTCATTTTGAATTGAATGACCTTACATTTATTGATCATCAAAATAATACACGTGACACGTTTTTATTAAATAAAAAGTGGGATATGCACTTCCTCCCTACCATAATGAGACGAGGGGAACCTTCTATCTTCCTCCCACAGGTCCAAGTCTTTGGTTGCGGAACAATCGGTTTTGTTGCTTTACTAAGGAGTAGAAAAGTCAAATATGCTGCAAACTAATTTTAAGGTAACCGAAGTGATAAGAGAGATGAGATCAAAATTCAAACGTTTTAAATTTAAATTTTGAAAATCTTTTTAAGGTTAAGTTACGAGGGAATTATTATCTTTGGCCGAATTGAAGAAAAATTAATCAAAATGGTCATAAACTAAGTTAGACACTCTAGAACACTGAACAAAGAAAAAAAAAACACTGCAAACCTGGGGGTGCGTAGTCGCAGTTGCATCTTTATCACTGTCGATGAAAGCCTCTAGTAGTTCAGTTCTCTCCTTTCTGTTGATGAACATAACCTGTCATGGGTCAATCAATAAGCAAGATTCATAATTGACATTGACATTAGGAATTTCCATAAGTAATGTTAATTTCCGAATCAAATCTAATTGGTTTCTTTTCATTCATTCCTTGCGAGATTGTTGTACAAATAAGCACTATGATGTTTTTATTTATTTAACTTAGATTTGACTTGAGTTAATTCAGTCCGTCTAATTAACAAATTGAACACAAACTTTTATTCGAATTTAAACTCGACTTCAAATTCTTATTCAAAATAACATCCGAGTAGTTTATATCCAAATCGATAACAAATTACTCATTACTTCAGTTCATTGACTGTTAATATTGTTACTCTAGGGTGCAAGGAAGTGTGTAAGTACCTCCAGAAAGTTTCTGTAAAGAAAATCAGGAAGCCATGGCAACTTGTGAGTACCCACTGTAAGCATAGCTTTCACACCCTCAACGGTCTCTGGCAACAAAAGTTCCGACCACTGTGAGAACCCAATCTTCTGCAGCGAAGCACGACTAATGGACTCAGTAAGTTCCACAACCGTGGCGGAAACCACCAAAGACTCGACCAAATCTGGGTCCAACTTGGCCAGCTTAAACCCAATTATACCTCCATAGCTAAAACCGACCAGTGTACAACTCTCCACTCCTAACTTCCTCAAACCCTTGGCCAAACACTCTGCCTGGAAGACCGTTGACCGGTGGTGGCTGTCGGTGGTGGAGCCGCCGAAGAAGAGGAGGTCCGGCACGTAGACTGCGTACCTGCCGGTTAAAGCCAATACTTGGAATAGCCATGTTATAACACCGTCTCCGAAGAAGCCATGAACGAGTACCACCGCAGGCTTGTTGGTTTTGTGATTGGTATGGTTTTGATTTTGATTTTGATTCCTTTGGATCGTTTCATTTGGGACCCAGAAATTCATTAATGTCCCTGGTTCGATCTCCACTAATTTGGGTGTCATCCCAGCTAGCTTCATCAGCCCTTGCAACAATGGCTTCGCTACTGTAAACACATTCACCATCTCTCTCTCTCTCTCTCTATCTCTCGAATATTTATTTAGTTATGTTCGACAAAGATGAAATCATCCGGGATCTGGTGTATCTGGGTGTGTGCCCTAACTGAATATATCAAGTTTTTGATTGACCTGAGCTGTCCACCTTAATAACAGCTGCGAGATTTTAACAAACAGTTGGTAGACATTGCGTCCTTAAATTTTCATCTTCTCTCCCATTTTCACATTCTGGTTCCGTGCCAGGAATATTCTTCTTTTCCCATTGGGAAAAACCGTGCGGTGAAAACAGCACCTAAGAACAGCATAATTGTATCAAATAGGCGGGAGGGTCTTCTTCTCATACAGAACTCTTGGCGTTTGGGATTTCCAACCGATCACCATCTTATTATTATGTTGACATAATGTCACGATAAGAAATTAAATAAAAATAACATGATATAATTGTGATATCTAATATTTTTTCCTGAGGATGGCCTGTAGTTAAAGTTTGTTTGTGATCATTAGTCTTAAAAAACAAAATAAATTAAAATAATAAATTTTAATTTTATATTTTATATGTATTGTGTTCTAAATAGTGAAACAAATACAATATTAGAAAATAATTTTTTATTATCACAATTAGACCATAATTAAAAGAAAAATAGAGGTAGAAGTTGTCCGGGAATTCCTTGAGGACCACCAACTAGAAGACACATGGTGGAGGCTAGTCGGAGCCATGCTTAACACGTTGTGCCAATTAGTCCAAGTTACCGACATCCAACATGACCACCACCAGAACACATGCCAAACCCTCTGGGGGCTGGTTGATAGGCACGTGGAGCAGGCGGAGTCAAAAAGTCATGCGAGAGTTGCCACAAATATTTCAACAAATTAAATCTTTTTTTTTATAATTAATATAAATAGGACAATAATTTATATTTAATTATATTCTATTTAATACTTAAAAGTTTATTAAATCCAATATACCAAAATTTCGTAAGCTTAGTATATATAAACGACACTAAATTTTTTTTACAAAATATAGGCTAATTAAAATTGACTCCGATAAATTTTTACACTTTGAAACCGTTGCATAACAACTTTATTATTCTTTATATGCATCATAATTTTATCACTTTGGTCTTTATATACATAACATGTCCAAAATATATCAAAAAAATTCATATTTATTTGATATAAGTGTGTACACTAATTGATGTGCCAAAAAAATAGAATGTGCATTATTAAAAATATTAAAGAAATACTTGAAATACATATCGGTAATGTTAAGGAAAACAAATTGAGGATAGACATGTGCCCCTCGGGCATATGCTGGCTCCGACCATGCTCTCTACCAAACTCATCAATTGTGCAAGGAAAAACAAAATACCCAAACAATCGAGGAAGGAGCTTTATTTTGTTTCTTCTGGTTGGGCAGTTAGGAATGAGTGAGACAAAGAGAAAAAAAAATAACTAATAAGATAGGTGTTACTGATGTCTGTTAAGTGGGCCAAAATTTTGTTTTTTAATGGTGGGCCAAAAATTTTGTTTTTTTAATAGGTTTGGGTAGATTGTGATAGGTCAAAAAATTAATTTTTTAATTAGGTTTGGTAGATAGTGGTGGGTTCAAATTTTTTTTGTTTTAAATAGATTTAATTTTTAAATTCTTTTGGGCCAAACATTTTTATCTTGGATTTTAGATGGGTACAAATAATATATATATATATATATATATATATATATATATATATAACTAATAAAAAATAATTTTTTTTTGGGGGGGGGCAGTTGTCCACCCTGCCCCATGCCTCCCTCCGCCCTTGATGTGGAGCTTGACAAAATGAGTTTGGAGAAAATAGTTTAAATGATCTTTAAATTTCATGTTTGAATTGAAAATTTAATTTTCGATTTTCAAACTTGTCTTAAATATTAAATTCATGATCATGAGTTTCGTCAAACTTAGGGGGTGAGTTTGGAAAGATGAGTTTAGGGGTTAAGGATGCAAAAAATAATTGTACCCTTTAACATGAGTATGAATTGGATTGATCGATGGTAAAATAGTTATTTATATGACAAATAATTATTAATAATTATAATATATCCGTGAATTCTGCATGTGTATGTATTGCATACTAAACATGAGTATGAACCAAATTCACTGTGAAATTTCATCTTTGTAAATAGTGATTTGAGTTTGAAAGAATTTGAAAAAATTAATCTAAACCCTCTCCAAAATCTATCCACACAAACCCCTGGGACCCCAACAAAATGAGAGAGTATATGTGTATATCTTATCTTGATTAGATCTTATTTTTTCGATTATTAATTTGAAGTTGTTGCACTATTAACTATTCAAATTACTAATTTTTTGCACTAATTATTAAATTTTAATTTTTTTTGAAATTTTATAGTTCAAGATACTATTTGAAATATTTAATGGTGCAATGTGTTTAAATAAATAGTTGAGGGATAAAGCAAAATGAAGATCACCATTTAAGAATAACTTGAGGGGTCATATAAAGTAAAGAATATAGTTTTGGGGTTAAAATATAATTTTGATATTAAGAAGATCAATTTTAGAGATATAAAATATAATTCTAAAAAGTTAAGGGGCCCCGAAACCTTGGCTTTGTAAGGGTCGCGGTGGTGATGACAATGAAAACAATGGTCTTAAGATGGCATTGACGATAAAAGTTGTTCAAATTTTTGATTAGCAGTAATTTTTTATCTTATCTGATTCTATTGAACGGCTAGCTAAAAATATTGGGTAGGAATGCGAAAAAAATTTTGGTCTTTCGATTAAATCGAGTAAAAATACGAAATAATCATTAATTTTCATATTAATGGCTATATATATATATATATTTCGCATATATATATATATAATTCAGGATCCATAATCCAAAAGAAAAGCTATTAAACAATTTTTAGAGATAAATCCAGAAGAAAAAAGAGACCTAATTTGTCTCAACCATATTCATTAAAAGAAATCCTTAATAAAAATGAAAAAGACATGAGTGATAGCCCTCTCTACATAAAATAAGCTTGGCCTACTACGATTCAAAATATAAAGATAGAAATCAATGAAGTCAAAGAAGACATAAAAGTCTTAAAGTCTAAATTACTAACTTTTGAAAAAATTTCATCTAGAGAAAGCAACATACAAGATGATATAGCATCACCATCACTATCTATCTTTGATGATAAGCCATCACCAAATGACAAAATAAATACTTTAGGAAAAACAACTTATCAAAAATGGTATGTTAAAATTATTTTAGTTATAAATTATGAATTTACTATCGAAACTATTGTTCTAATTGATAGTGGAACTGATATGAACTGCATAAAGGTTGGATTAATTCCAACTAAATATTTTGAATAAAACTAATCAGTTAGTCAGTGTTTCTGATGGGTCAAAATTAAATATAAATTTTAAACTCTCTAATATTTTTGTATGTAATCAAGGAATTTGTATTCCTATAACTTTTATGCTCATTGATAATTTAAATCAATTGGTGATTTTGAGAACACCATTTTTATCTTTAATTGAACCTATAGAAAGAATTGATTCGAAAGGTATTTTGACTACCATAAATGGTCAGCAAATATTATTTGAGTTTATAACTCCACCTCAAATAGAATTGATAAATCAAATAAAAGAAAATCAATTAAATTTTCCATCCTATTCTAACATATTAAAAAGTGATGTTTATTTTGCAGGACAAGACCAAGATGTTACAGAAATGAGTCTTAACCCAGATTCATTCTCTCTAGATCTTATTACCAAATCACTAAAACTTCTTGACTGTTTTTGTGATTATGCAGGAGAAGATGTTTATAGCTTTTCCTCCATATAGAGTACTAATAATTGCAACACTTTGATATCTCTATTGCAATGCTATGGAAGATCAATTAATTGATCATATATCTATCTTTTTATTAATAATTGCAAGACGTCAAAAAGAATTTTTAAAAGCAGGTTTAAAGTTCTATCTTATTCTTAAAAGTAATGACTGACATTATGATTGACACTATAAACAGTGGCTGGAGACTACAGTCCCAAAAGAATTTTGTCAAAACATGGTAAATAAACTTGGTGGTATAACAGTTCGAACCCAAGTTTTTGCATATAAAGATGCATATTTTTCTAATGACTATAAAGATGCTTTTTATGCATATAGAAGTGCATATTATTTTAATCCATATAAAAATTATCATTATTTTAATACATATAAAAATGCTTATTATCCTCCACTCTCTATAAAGACATTATCACATAAATGTGATATGAATGATAACCAGTCACAACTTAAAGTTGTCACCCCTTTGTCAAATAAAATTGACAATAACAAAAAACTGTCTGAAAATAAATCTCTTTTTATACCTAAATATTTGACATTGTCTCCATATATGGAGCTTAATAATTTTCTTGAAAGGATATATCCTTCTAACATTAATGACCCTAGACAAATCAGGGAATATTTAATCCAATTTGAGAAAGATTATCCGCTTGAGTTTAAAAATAAAATTATAGCGGAATGTCTTAAAAACATAGATAAAAGAGAAGATAAATCTTTAACAGATAAAACTTCATCTTCTACATCAATGGTTCCCTGTACTAGTATAAATACTAGAACTAATTTAAATCCTATTGAAATTCTTAAAAAATTAATTAAAAAAGAAAAACCCCACTTAAATCCTGAGCAGCTTAAAGGCTCAGTTGACAGTTGTAAAATATCTTCATTATGATCAAAAGGAACAGTCCTTTCAATCGTTTTAATAGTAAAACTCGATTTAAAATTAAATGTGTCAATATTATAGATCTTCTTAGTGGGGTACTAGGGTATATCCTAGTTTTACAATTTATTTTTAATATCAAAGAATTCTATCTTTTCTATATTTTTAACATAGTCGTTTTTATGATTAAATTTAAATTTAAATAGGTTTAAAGTCATAGTGGTATCTCAAAGGTTTTTCTGTTGAATTATATGTTTCACTATTACCTTCTTCAAGTTACTACTGTAATT